GGGGATCTCGTAGTCGAGCAGTCTCGACTAGAGCTTTCTTACTTGTTTTTATTATGATATCGTATTTTAGCTTGGGCACATTTTAGGTAATTATTTATCAATATCGAATTATTTCAATATTAATGCAAACAACAAAAATTTCAATAATCCGTAATTATCGACGAATGTAGATCAAATAATCACATTTTAGCTGCGACAGCAACAACACAAAATTAATTATGAAAATACAAATAAAAATAATTACGCATGAAAATAACAAAATGGACGACAGCCCAGCCACGCCCCCCGCTCTAGTTATCTGCCAATGCTATTATGTGAGTGGAGATGGGGGTGTGGGAGTGTGTGTGCGTGCGTGCATGCGTGTATGTGTATGCATTAGTGTGTAATTGAGGTTAAATGGACATGACATTATTTTTAGAATATTTTTGATCAATTTCCTGCATGAGCTGAGAATTTAACCTCATTGAATGAGGATATTGATGTAGTTCGATGTATATATATTTTATAATTGAAAAAATATATATGATATAAAATATATAAAAGTATTGAAAAAATATATATATTATATAAATTCTCTAAAATATATTATTATTTTATTCATCTTATTTATTTTATTATATTATTCATATTACTTTCGCTGACATCTCATAATTTAGCACTTCTTAGAAATGGGTTTAATATTACTTCGACATTCGCTGGAAATATGAATAGAGTTTGTAGATGTCTGTAAAAGTCTGCAATCATTTTATACAAATAAAAAGATGTGCAATATGATTTGCTTTCTTTCTCTCTTAAAATTTCTCTAGGACTTTGCATGCTCTCAATAAAAGATAAACAATGACACCAATTAGTCAGAATAGCCATTATGAATTCTGAAATTGGCTATAGGAATTGTATAGCAAATACATACACACACATTTATATATATTTTAAGATATATGCATATATATACATATCCATCACAAGTGTTTCATTCAACATTAATTCGTTCTACAAGATGCAACAACATCTACATAATTTTCTGTGCTATATCAAAATGAAATTTGTCCATTGCCTTAACTAAATTTCTAACTAGCTTCTGTTTTGTTTCTTCTATTTGCAGTTGGGGCTGACGGTTCGACACGCCCACTGCTGTTTTGGCTGGGCGCATGGTCTGGTTATGCAATACCAGAAAGCAGAGCAACAGAAGCACTAAAGCATCTGCGGCCGGCCGCAGAGAATGCAAATAAATGCAACTCATATAAATTAGGAAAATCAACAATAATAACAGACACGGACACACGCACTCTACACACACACACACACACACACACAAACAGACACGCACTCACACACACACTAGACCGAAAGAAAATCACATAAAATGCAACGGAATCTGCTGCATGAATTAAACAACAATAGCAACAACAACAACAATAAAAACAACAATAACACCAAGATTCAACAACAGAGATACATGAAATATTCAAACTAACTAAAAGCAAGGCAATTCATAAGAAAATTCCTGAAAATCCAAAGCACAACTCGGCAGTCAGTTGCTGCTGGCGGGCATATGACGCTAATGGAGCATCGCCTGGCCAAGCAACCACTGGCACCACCCGCTGCAATGCTAGCCAAACTGTGGCCTTGGCTGCGGCATGAGGCGTGGCCGTGGCTGCATAAATCAAAGTAAGTTCCAGTTGCCTCTGCTGTTGTTTGTTAAATTTTTGCTTGCTTTCTTGCAGCAACAAATTATTTTAATTAATTTTCAACTTTCTATCAAAAACATACATACAAATACAAGTATAAACATATTTATATAAGTAAAAATATATATACGTATATGTAGTGAAATTCCATTGCAATTTATTTTGTTAAGACTCTCTTGGAAAAAAGTTAAATAACAAAAATTTATTAAAGCAAACGTCGAGCGCTTTGCTATTTATAAATTTGCCAGCTCAGGTATGAAGAGGCGTCTGCCACGCCCCAGCTCACACACCTGCCAGCCGTGCCAGCCGCCAAAGTCCACTTGAGCTGCTTGAACTTTAAGTCGGAAATTGTCGCCGGCAGCTATGGCATTTCAGAGCGTATATAAATAGCTTAAGAGCAAACAGTTTGAGCTCCGACAGATTCCTGACATGGATAGCAGACGATAAACGAAACTTTCGAGAGCATTATGTCAAAATTAGAATGTTGATCTGAAGTTTGTAAATATGTAAAATCCTTTAATATATGAATGAGCTCTGATTGAGTTTCAATGTACAGTTTTCTTTTCTTCTTTTTCATAAAACCTCTACAGTATTCTTATGCTAAGCTAAATTACTAATTGCTTTTGCTTGAAGCTAAGCTCACAGCTAAGATGTCAGGCTCGACGAACCGCTCGAAAAGTGGCTGTCAGAAATGTTATTTAATGAAAAGCCGTAAAAGTGCGTAAACCGAAAAATCAATGCGTCCCCAAGCCCACAGCTGTGACCAACTGTGCGCCCTTTCCCTGTTCAGCCCCTTTGGCCACGCCCCCAAATAGGCCAGTACATGACCAGCATCAATAAGTTTTCGGAGCGTCGAAACTTTGGGACAAACAGCTGCTGCTGCGGTTATGGCTGCTGTGAAAATGAGCAAAAAATTTATTTACACACACACACGCACACACAGACACTTACAACAAATACCCAACGGAATCACAAAGAGCATTTTAAGTTGCCCCCAGGGGTGTGAGGCAAGGACCAGTCGATAATCAGTGTCCTGGGCTGCTGTCTGCGGGGCAACCCAAAAAATCGACTCGAGCAGTGCAAATTTGAGGTTAATGCACAAATAAATCTGCCACAAATTGAAAGACATCAAAACTGGCGCACGTAGTGCCTCAGCCCAGAGTAAATGGCCAGTAAAAAGTATATATATATATACATCATACTTGTATACATATATATGTATAGTATATATAGAGCCAGCAAGTCGAAAAAAAGTATGATAATTATTAACGCTCAACTGCGTCTCAATCAACAATATTTTATCTGGCACACTCAGGCGAGTGTCGAGTCCTGAAACTCGTGAGCCCCGAGTCTAGTTTCAAAGTATTTCATTTACTAATATACCCTGGAGAGAATTTAAATTCAACGAGATTTATTAGATTCGATGTATATATGGATGTATACACAGCTGTGTATTTGTGTAAAAATCCTCCCGTCTCCTGCATACCTAAATGTAGCAGTTTGTACAGGCCAACCAGGGCTAATCGATAAATATCGATTTACTGTCTTCTTGTGAAGTTTAGCTTTGCATGTCTAGGCTATTGGGACTATACATATATGTGGATATAAATATTATTTGTGTCACATAAAATCTCTAACTGACACAAAAAGTTGACATACACATTTATCGGTCACTTAAATCGATAAATATTGATATGTAGCAAGAGAAAGCTCAGCATATTAACTTTAAAAAGAATTCAAAAGACAAAAATATGATATATATAGAATAATAGTAAATTATATTGACCCGATTCATCCCATTCATCGATAAGATATCGATTATAGACAACATTGCTATTACTGGGTATCTCTTAGTCAATCACGTGCACCTTCGGTGTATTCTTAGTTGTTTTATATTTGTCTTCCGGCCGCAGTTGCGAAAGACTGCGACAGAAAGGAAACCGCCAGCTGATATCGTGCGCCTGCTAACTTCCGATTTCCGTTGCGCGCTGTGATTGAGCGTCGCTTTATTTCCTGTCAAAATGCGAAACGCCTAAGATAGGCGCCTACGCCGGGCCAGGCCAGGCCAGGCTAGGCTAGGCCTCGCAACGAGTCACCGCTCTATGCTCTAGCACACACTTTTCCGTTTCATTGCTGGCCAGGCTCATGATAAACTTATTAGGCAGACTCACTCTTTAAGCAGCTACGATTCGGGCGGGGCCATCGAGGGGGGCGGGGGCGATGTCTGCTGTTGGGGCTCGAGTCCTGGCTTGTTAGCAGCCGAGCGTGTCGACTGCCTATTTCGAGTCGGTTAAAGTTTTGGATGTCGCACACTTGAATGGGGCATTTGGGTGGAGTGTGGCACGGGAGTTGGGGGCGTCTTTTGCGCCTGCCTGTCGGCATCAATGTCAGTGATTTATCACAAGGCACAGGCACATAAATAAACACCGGCCTGACACTCGGCGGTCTTCAGAGTCGTTTGCCATCCGAGTCGGAGTCGGAGTCGGAGTGGGATTCGGGTTTCTTTTTTGACAGTGTGCGTTGCTTCGATTTGGTTTACGCATCAATGGATTTATCCCCTGGCCCACGCTCAATTCCCCTGTATGCCACCTCGCCAACAGCACCCCATCCCTGCCACATCGCAGTGTTTCCTTTTCATTTGACGCTTTGTGCACTTGACTTTGGCGTTGTTGCTGCGATTTGCTGGCTCTAACGACCCTCATTGTTTGACACTTGGCGTTGATTTTTTTTGCTTCTTTCTCTCTCATTTTTTTTGGCCAAATAACAGCCAGACCCGAGCAGCAGGCTTCATCTTATCTTGCCAGGATAATGGCAGGACCCGCGCTCCCTTTGCTGCTCCTCTTGTTGCTGCTGTTGTTGTTGTTGTTGTTGTTGTTGCTGTTGTGGCTGCCGGTTTTGGCTTGCGACATTATTTTCACTTTATTGAAAACTTGTAGCCGAAATTGATTTTCTGCGTCTCCTGACATCGCATTCCAAGCTCAGGGATTTGACATTTTCGCTGTTACCCGCTCATGTTCGCGCAGTCGTTGCCCCGTTGCCCCGATTCCTCTTTCCCCATGCCCCAGGCACAAGCTATATTCCCCAGCGTCGCCAAGCTTGGCTACCCTCGCGCTATTACTATACCCTTTGGCCTGGGATATTTCAATTTTCAGTCGAACTTTGTGAGGTGTTTACATAGGCATTTCTGATTAAGGTCTTGACTGTTTTTAGACTTAGAGATAGCTGGCTGAAATAATAGAGATTTGCATGCCTGAAGAGTCTATTTATTATATTATTAAAAAAAAAAAATTAATATTATTATTATAAATTATTATGCATATCATGCAGACATCTTGTGTGTATATAGAATATGTTTTATTTTTATATATTTTATTAGAGTTTACATATCGGAGATCATATTTAACATATGTTTTTTTTACTTTTCTTCATTTAACACACGTGCACAAAAGTGTATTAAAAGCTTCGACAATTTCACATTTCGCTGTCTCTCTTCATCTGGCCTTTTGCTCGTTTTGTTTTCTACCAAATTTATTTCGCATTTAGTTGAATACTTTTTGGCATTTGGCTTGAAAATTTCGGATACATTTATTTTAAAGACTGTAATTTCATTTTATTCTCATGCTAATGTCCTGGGTGGTTTCGATGTGCCACCTACCTCACTCACTAATCCATCCGTCTCACTCTCTCTCTCTCTCTCTCTCTCTCTCTGTATGCTTCTCGCTTTCTTTGGCAGTGACTTGCAGTTGGCGTTAGGGACTTTTCAGCTTGCCTGACTTTGGTCTTTTAATATTATTAAGTATTTATTTGGGCACATTCCGCTCCTAATGCGTTTCGGCTATGAAGTGAGAGTGCAATTTTTTCGTGAATGAAAATCAATTGAAGCTGTGAATCTGTATATATATAGATGAATCTATATACATGCGCATATACCTACATCTATTTCCATTTATATGTATCTTTTGCCAATTCATGTTTTAGCGTTTTGACAAATTATTGCCGCGTGTTCAATTGAAAAGCCCCGACAGAAATTGTAATTTCGTCGTGCAATTCGAATGTTTTATATCAATAAATTTATCAGAGATAGGGACATACATATATATGTTGGCTATGTAAGAGCCGTAGTTCGCTGTTTATTCATTTTATTTTTGTTCGGCTGGCTGTTATCTCTTTTAGAATATTTTATATAAAATTCGCTATGCGCACCCAAAGTCCTGGAACAATAAAAGCAATCAGTGCTTAAAAATCAAATTCAATTTGCGCATATTCAGCATATTCCGGACTCGCCAGACCAGTTGTTGCTTTTGCTTTTGCTTTTGCTGTTGCTTTTGCATTTGCTTTCGCTTTTGTTATTGCGGCATTTTTCTCTTTTATTTTCATACAATATTTTTTTTAAATTTATAACAAAAATGCCTGGTAAAAGGAAAAACGACAACATAAAGAGCCGAACTTTTTTCGGGCCAATACTATGAAAGCTGGAACAAAGGCGGACGAGTGCGAGGCTAACGCGGTTGAAACTGGCAAATCATAAATATTCCTGAATCAACAGAATATGATGAAAATCCATAAATCATTGTGTGTGTGTGTGTGTGATTGTATGGGTGTGTGTGGGTAGCTCTTTGCAAGGATTCCGAATGCAAATCAACTGTGTCAAAACATTGGCTACCAAGTGCGCAGCATCCACTGCCACCATTGCCACTGCTGCTGCTGCTTCTGCCGCAGCCGCTGCCGCTGCCTGGGCCGAGCAAACAAATAATGAAGACGAATGCAAACAGCAGACAGCAAAACACCAAGCAAATAGCAGTCGAGCAGTTGGCCCAGCTCGAGTGGGTGGGCTGATGCGATGAGAAAGTGTACAAATTTAAGCAAACAATGGACCGAAACCGAGCAGCCGGCAGCGTTGCTGTAAGACGACAGAGAGAAGGAAAGATAGATAGAGAGAGAGAGAGAGAGAGAGTGAGAGCTGCAGTTGAGCAGTGCCTC